GCGCTGCAGGGTCCTCTGCTCCGCTGCCCCAGAGATCCGGGAGATAAAAGTTGGCAGGATGCGGATGGTCTGCCGTTCAAGTCACATCCGCCGCGCCACCTCCTGTGGCACCAGCGCTCACAATAACCTCTTCCAGCTCAGTACGCGTCCCTGCAGAAGGAACAGCCGACCGCCTGCGCTGCCTGGGCCGGAGAGCGGGGCGCGCCGGGCGCGCGGGGGACGACCTTCCACTTGCCTTCCTAAGCCCCGACACCTCTCCGCCAGCGCACGCCCTCCCCGCCCGCCGCCGCCGCCCAAGACGGTGTTTTTTAATTGCTGATGCCCTCGCCCATCATTTGCTTGTGCTGCCTTGGTTGTCTTACACTTGTAGTATTTCAGCTAAGTGTAATCATCGTCACCGTCTCCAGGAGGGAACGGCAGATTCATAAACAGAACCACTCAACAATGTACCTCTATTCCACAGTGAGATCTGCTAGAAGCTGGGTTAAAATACCATGAAGATGAGAAGCAGCACTTAGGAGTTAATTCTGTTTTTTTCACATTTAAATTGAATTAAATAGATTGTCGTGATGTTTAAAGAGTACAAAGAGATGCATTCTCTGGCTTTCAAAATATAAATGACAACCAAAGTGACAAAAACTGGCTAGGGGGTTATTTATTTTTGTCAGCATTACTGCTCAGACTAGTTAATTCAAAGGCATTTCCCCTGATTCATGTCAGATCATTTCAGTGTCTACCCGTCTTACAATCATTAGTTTCATTTGAGCCTTCTGAGGTTTTCCCATATGTGAGCATGGGCTCTGACATGGGCGCTCATCCAATTAGGTGTCGCCTTCTGCAGCCTACATTACGTAAGGCACTGTGGCTCATGAAATAAAAGCCATGTCAGATTTGAAACTCCTACTGGTTTCAGGTGAGCCAAGAGGCAGCATGAATCCTGAGTTGGTAAGCTTGTAATTTTATCACTGATCTGCTAGTGGATTGAGTCATTTGTAAAATATCACTTGGGTTCAACTTGTCTTGCACTGTAGGCTTCCAATGTGGTGTACATCCTGTGTGCAAACAGATTAAGTTGAAGCTATCTCAACAGAAATGGATATTTAGATTTGTTTAAGGAGGATTTACTACCAAGGTGGTTGTCTTGGCAAATGGGCTCACGTTCCCCCCGCTGTGGAGGAACTGGAATTGAATAACTGGGCTGCAGGTCAGGATTTTGATTTCTGTTTTCACCTTAGCCATTTAATAGTCATAAACATTAAGTGTTGTTTTGACCTCTTTGGATTTCAGTCACTTCGTCTGTAAAATAAGGGGAGGAGAATTTGCTTGCCAACTTCAAAAGCTGTCTATGAGAATGGAATTAGGGGACTGTAGAAACGCTTTGTTAGTGTCAAATCAGCACACAAGTCCAACACAGTTCTATCTGACCTGCATCATTCCAAGGAATACCATTTTTTCCAAGTACCACGAAGGCTTGGAGATGTCGAGAATAAAGCACGTACTGATATTTTGAAAATTGTGACAGTTTTGCTGTCATTCTTTTCCAAAATGCCCCATCCAATAAAATTAATTGATTTCCTTCTCATTGTCCTCATTGATAAGATGAAGATAAAAATGGAAAACTTTTTATTCTTCCTTTGGAATTTGAGAGAAATCAGTTTAACCTAGCTGTGCATCTGTCTCCTTTAAATTCTCCAAATGTTAGATTTAGTAGCATCATTAATATTTAACTCAAACCAGGAGCCCTATTCAGTTTTCTTAAACATTTATTAGATATACGACTGTGCAAAACAATAGATTTCCCCTATTCCCTATAGTAGACATTAGTATGGTTCATCACATTTTCAACCTCCTTCTTGTGGAAGATTGCACTTTCCTAACATTCAAGGGTAGGTGTGGTCATCGGACTCGGTGTGGCCAATGAAATGTGAGCTGCAGTGATGTGTTACTCCTCTTCCCCGTCCTCCAGCCTCTGGAAAAGACTGAATTGCCAGTGTGAGGCTCCGTGGAGCTCACCCAGCTACCAGGAGATCAAAGCAGCCTGACATACGGACAGCACACGGAGGTCAGCTGCTCTGAACCGTCACCCAGACCTGTGGAGGATTTGACTGTGAGGAAATTTTTGCTTTCTGTTAAGCCACTGAGAATTTGGAGTTGTTTCTTGCCACAGCGTAACTGAGCCCATCATGATTTTATTCTGATGCATCCCCATGTGTCTTTACTGCTTGTAAAGAAATAGGGGATTTCTTCAAGATAAGATGGTTCCACGTGAGTTTTAAGAGTAATAGTTTTGGTATCAAAAATGTTACACAGAATTTATGTAATAAATAATCTAGAAAAATCTTTATGAACAAAAGAGTGTTTTGATGATTATAGGAATAGTGTTGATAGCATACTTCTGCCTTTTTGAAATTAATGATACAGGTAATCACATTTTGAAGAAATTATTCTGACGAGGGCTTAGGACTCTTAAAAAGGTTTATATAAATGTTACTGGAAAGAGTCTGAGCCTGGATTTACACCCACATGTGTTTTCTCCTCCTTATCTTTGACTGCCTCCCAAATCTATTCTGTAATAGTGGATTCATCCAGACTGCCATCATTTACTGAGTGCCTGCCTTGTGTGTGGAAGTCCCAGTTCCTTCTTCTGTAAAAAGGCAGAAACAGTATCTAACCTTCAAGATAGAGTGTTCAGCCAAGCAGAGAAGCCGCCTCGCTGGGTTACCTACAGTGAGGTTACACAAACCTCCAAGTGTTACATGAGACATGTGACTGCTATTGAATCTGCTTGGCTGCTGGAACTGGCTCCACACTTTTATCAACAAGAAACACACTTGTCCCTCAAAGCCAAGAAGGCCAAGGACTGGGACCAGTGAGCTGAGCGTGGCTGTGGCCGCAGGCGCAGCTTGGTGTCCTGGCCTCCGTGCAGCCAGCCTCCATCTAGGGTGGGTGAGCCGGCATCAGCACGTGTGGAACCTTCAGCTGCCTGCAGTGGTTTGCAGCCCATTCAAGCCCCTGTCCGCCCTGTCCCTTCAGCATCCACCTTCCTTGCTGGGGTCCCAGAGGATTTTGTGCTTGAGCGGGCGTCCTGCTGCATGGGAGCTGGAAGGACCATGCTCTTTGCTCACCCAGCAGCCTCCCTGACCCGGCATGCCAGTTCCAGCAGACTCAGTCCTGGCCCAGGTCACAGGCAATGAGGACAGCGGGCCACTGCTGCTGAAGCACCAAGTGGGCTGGGCAGAGGGTTTGCTGGGCTGGCTTTGCTTTCCCTGTGGGGCCACAGCTCCGTTGACCAGTAAGGTGTGTGGCCAAGTGTGAACAGCAGATGGCCACGAAGGTCTGAGACCCTGTGAACACTGTGGGTTTCTGCCAGCATCACTGAGGGGTGTGCCTGCTGGGCACAGGAGTTCCCAAACCAGGCAGGTTCTGTTTCCCTTCTACCAGTGTCCTTGTTTGTCAGTGGCCAGGAGACTTGCAAGGATTGGCGATTGGTGCAGAAGACCCGTACGTGCTGTGCTTTGTGCACAGGGCCTCTGTTTCACAAGCGGGCTTAGCTCTCCCTCCGTGTATGGTACCACATCCCAGTGCCACTAGTTCACCAGCTCAGACCCCATCTGGGATCCTCTGTAGCAGAAATTCACCACCATTTAGAGGCTCAGCCTTCTGTAGCTCAGGAGCATCACTTGTACATTTATTTTGGTGTGTCTACTTGGTTTTGGCCAGAATGTGGGGTTCGGTGGGTCTCCTCCAGCAGGCGCTGGTCTTAGTGGTGCCCCAGGGCTGCTTTGCTGTGATGATGTTTGCATTTCAACACATGACCAGTACAGATTGTTTTCCCCTTACTGTTTCAATGACATCTATTTAAAAAACACGTAGCTTGAGAATTTATTTTTGTACTGATGTTTGTTTGGATGTGCCGCTTTTGGCACTAAACATGTATGCCATTTTTATTTCTGTTTTATAAACATGCAAATAATAGTGATAACTTGATAATAGTAAACCTTTTATACCTAAAGTAAATATGTTCCCTTAAAAAAGAAGATTGAATGCTCAGAAAATGATGTCTCTAAAAACACTTAAACTGCTACTTAGCACACACTGGGAGGCAAGGTGGGGTGACAAACAAATCACTGGTTTGGGGTTTGAGTCTGTGCTGTAGTATTTGCTAACTGTATCCTATAGACAAGGCACTTGACTTCTCTGAGCTTGGGGTCCTTCCTTTGTAAAAACATGGACAAAAACTTTACATTGGTTTCATTGATATTTAAAGGAGAAGTCTCTCATGTTCCCGTTAGAGTGTACAGAAGACAGGAGATAATCAGTGCACAGTGATTGTTATGATGTGATAGTTCTAGGCTAATGATAGAGGATACAAAGATGGATACATGATGATTGAATTCAAAGAAGGCCTAGTGCAACATGAAAGGCAGACAGGTAGGTCTGTGACAGTGTAGTAAAGAATACAGTGGATGTGTGGGAGTACTACAGTGCACACCTGGAGGACTGAGGAGGAGAGGGATTCTCATATTAGCATTTCATATATTTTTGATGAGTGGTTGCAACACTGGCCGATTCTGTCAGTTCTTTCCCTCGTCCTGAGATTGAAAACGTATGGAGAAAATGTCTAGCTTGTTCCCAGATGGCCCACTCAGACACTGACTGAGCCAGTGAGTAATTCTGTTACCTTTTTAGGAATGGAGTAAAAATGATCAGGCTTCAAAAATTGAGTAGTATTTTGTGGAACTTCCACAGGACAGAGGCTAAAGGAAGTTCTAAGTCATC